AAAAAAAAAAAAAAAAAAAAAAAAAAAAAAAAAAAAAAAAAAAAAAAATAAAAAAAAAAAAAAAAAAAAAAAGAAATGGTTTTGGAATAAAAATTGCAACAGCACAGTCTCATTAGACTGATCCAGATACAGCAGAACATTATTCCTAATAAAACCAGAAAGCTTATCCATCAGGAATAATAACTGCCAACCATAAGAGAGCAAAAGCTGATTGCAAAAATATAAAATAAAAAGGGAGGCATAGGATGAGAACTTCATGAAGCAACCCAGGGTAACACCTGGGCGCTGCCATCATGGATTRTGAGCTCAGACAGCTCTGCAGGGCTCAGTCCAAAATCTTCCATTTCTTTGGTTTGACCAGAATTGCTTTAATTTAATTCTCAGGAGCCTGCAATGCACATCTGCTTGCCAAGACAAAACTGATCAATTGGGGTTTTTATTTTTACTCAGCCAAATTTGCATTTCATAGAGATGAACAGAACAGAGAACGGTCAATACCTCTCTGCAGTCCAGCTCCAGGTTCTGTCCCCCMACCTCCAGTTTGAGAATTTCAACCTGGTAATACCACTCCTCTTTGATGGGCGTGTACCAGATGTCCCCCGTGTACAGACTGGGCTCAATTCCACCCAGGACCTAAGGGAGAGCAGAAAAGAAGTCACACACTTTAAAATCCTGGGTGTTTAGTTTGGGGACAAGCACAGGCAGAAAGGGGAATATTTAAYTGTGATACTCAGGGCATCAAGATTTCAATTTAGCATCATTTGTAAGGATTTTACTGTCAAGTTCTCTGTCAATAATAGATCAGTGTTAAACATCTAGACATTAAACAAATTGTGCTTTAGTCAAACACAATTCCTACACTGGGCCAATGAGCAGCATCCTCCCCTACAACCTCACACTGGTTCTGTAATGAAAACACCTCTGTTTAAAATCCAAACAGTTTCTTCAGTGGTCAAACCTAGGCAATGTATAAACATGGGACAGAATATTAAATTTATGCATAATACATTTGCTTTATCAGATCAGAAAAACTTTAGTACTGTTCAAGAATATTTCATTTTTTTCTTACACACACGGAGAATGGAATGCCATCCTTTCACTGCTACCACTATCAGCTTCCAGCAAAACCTAGGCTGAGGATGGCTGGGAATATTTGTAGACTCTCAAACTTTGAAATGAACAGAAGCAAGTTCTCTCTTGTTCTTCAATTATATGACTAACATTTACAGAATGTGAATTATCTTCAAATAAGTATTTGWGATCAGCTCCTGTGCTGAGATGTTTATTTCAGCATGATTTGTCATTCCATCTTCCAATTCCAGGTATGTAATGGCCAGCTCATGGTCTCACTAAAACTGACAGAAAGACTTCCCAGAGTAACAACAAGCAGGAGATCTGACCTACAGATTTTTCCATTTTATATGTTGTTTACAAAAAAACAAAAGCCCCTTGATTCCTCTCCCCCTTTTCACATCATGTAAAAAAAAAAAATTACTGTAGCATTTTGAGGAGATTGAACAAATTTATTAGCTAAATACATGACTACTCAGTTTGAGAAATGTTATCAGAATCTGCCTGAGAAAACACCACAATATTCATGTTTTTCTTTATTAAAAGAAGAAAAGTTTACTCAAACTTGAGAGAGAAGAAAAGAATTGAGAATGAAAATAAGTAGACAGTCGAATTTTGCCTAAGGGCCTAACTTTTCCTTAAAATAGATAGAAAATAGATATGAAAATATATTTAAACACTAAATTTGGCAGAAGCAGGATAGTCAGAGAAAAGAGGGAGAGAGGTGAACAAAGATACATCTTCCCTCTCCTACTGACAGATACCCACAAGACTACCTCCGTTGGTACCACTTCCAGAAACAGGGAGTCCAGCACCGCACATCTGCAAGGAGAAAATGTCGGGGATCTTCGCCTGCCTCACGAGCGAATCAAAGAATGTCTCCACAGAACTCGAGGGCTTGAAGGTGTTGAAAAACAAAACAGAACAAAAGAATTGTGGGATTCATTAAAAAGTTTCTTTGCAGGAAATCAGTAAATCATTCAAACAAGGCCACTTCTAAGAGTGAACTGAATTTCTGGCAACCAGCTGATCAAAGTTCTAGACATAATAAGTCATTTAAACCCCAATATCTGTAATTTTTCTGTTTCTGTTGCTTTTAAAAACATTTTTACTCCTGACCACTGTCAGTGTCGCTGCCACCAAATCCCCGAAGCACAGGAGTAATTTTCAGTTGCAGYTTCCAAACTCAAACACCAGTTTCAGGCAGAAACTCTCACTGTTTGGAAAAGGCTTTTGGTTATCAGAACACTCAAATGTAACGTGCCTTTCCCATAGATAAAAAGCAGAATTATAAAGCCAAGCTTTTCAGGTTTTCAACACTATTAAATCCTATTGAACTTTGAATTCAGTGGCCCTTATTGCCTCTCTTTTCTTTTAAAGAACTTCATATCCGAGCACACTCTCTWTGACTGGTTGCAGTGCCAGGTTCTTCCCGACACTGCAGGTCCTGTTTTCCTTGGCATTTGTTAAATTGCTGCAACTTCCCTGTAATTCAGATTTCTGTGCAGGAARGTCTCATGATGGGCAAAGACCCAACTCGCTCTCAGGGGCCAAGTGCTCTCACTCCACAAAACCCAGAGCAGCCTCAGAAGCCAACAACCCCTAAATCCTCACAAGAAGGGAAAAACAAACACCCTGAGTGCACTGTTTGYCCAAACCAGAGCTGGAGGAGCAGCTCTTCTCTTCCTGCTGCCAGACCATGAAATCAATAAACGCAATGCTCACACAACTCTTGAATAAAGCAGAGTCGTCAGGCAACATTCAATTGTTTGTTCTGTCTGGGTGGATCTCGTCTTTGGGATGTGAAGGTTGAAAATTGTAACTCTTGTGGTTCCCCAATCACATTTGCAGTCTCAGACTATAAGGGTATATGTTACAGGACAGAAATTTCAGGATTTAATTGAAACTTCTACATGAATTTCCTACCTCCAGAAGGGCAGGATGTGCTTGGTTCTATGTTCCTGGAAACACTGCAGATAATGTTTATTCTGAAGTTATCTATCCACCTTACTTCGTGAATGGAGAATGCCCTAGAACGAACTTCCAAGGGCTTTGCTTTGGGCCAGTCTTGAGAAATCAGAGTTCTAACACCTCCCTCCACACACATCCCRAAGCCTTTAGTCCCATCCTCTGGTATTACAAGCTCTGCAAAAGCTTATTCATTCCAGAGGAGCTAAAATCAGCATTTCCATCACCAGAAAAGCCAAAATCCTCACACAGGACTGTGGCACCATCAGAACCCAACYGACCCTTTCTGTAACAAAGACAAAARGRTTTGTAGGGAAGAGTGGCTKYRAGGGTGGAGTCCAGSGCTGACAGATCATCTGCTGACTTTKTTWWAACAGATTTCTCTTTAYTGTCCTTGTGAAAGGCAATCCCTGGGGAAGGGATGGTTTACCTTGGCTAAGGCATTGTAGGCCAGACCCAGGATCCCGTGCCACTTGACCCCAGGCAGGAAGAAGTTCTCAGACTCGAGGATGGTGGCGATGTTGATGATGTAGCTGCCGTAGAGCCCTTTGGGCATGGTGATGACATCTGTGCCCAGCACTCCTGTCCAGCTGCCCTGGCTGTACTTCACTGTGACCTCAACCCCCTGAGATCTGTACGTGCTTGACCTTCAAAAGGAAAGGATAAAAGGATACACTTATGCACGAGCTGTTCATTTGCGATGCAAGACAGCAGAATTTATTCCATCTCAGTTTTGACCAGAGAGGGGAAAAAAAATAAATTAGGTATGCAAAATATATATTCGTACTGCTTGTGAAAGCATTAAAAAGCAGAAATTAAAAAAACACCAAAATTCTAGGCCCCGTTTTTATCCAAAAGCCATCAATAACTCAAATGTTCACAGTAAGTATCTAAAAAAAATAAATAATCACAGCCACCTACTCCAGTGTCCCTGACTCAGACTGGTCCATCACAATAGGAGCAACACTTYAACTGAAGAAGGAACATATTAAATGCCACTAGGAAATGAAAAGCTGCTGAATTMAAATCTAAAATTGAAATGCCAAGCTAACTGAATAGCTGTAGACTAATACCTCATTAATATTCTTAAAAAGATCCATTTTGGGTAAATTGGAATATTATAGTGAGTATCAGCAGTAAGACAGAGGTTTTCTAAATCTGCAATTTGGCCTATCTAKGAGGGAGAAGCAGATTTTGATATTACTAACAAATTATTCACTGACTTGGAGGAGCAAAGGAAKAAGTTCTTTCTAGACCAGGGAAGCAAATCCAGAGGAGCAGTTAAGTATGGCAAGCAAAGGAAGGAACAGAATCCTGTTTAAAAGGCTTAACAAAAACTTAGTAAAAGCTTCAACAGATAATTCGTTTTAAAGACCTGTAATCCATAAATATTGTAATCATATTCCAAACACAGCACTACTGAAGAGCTACAAAAGTTCTGGATCCTTCACAATTTGCTTTTGATCCACTCCTCGGGGTGCAGCTTTTCCCCTTTTGAAGAGACAGATGATTACTCTAAGTTCATCTGAGCAGACTTCTTGTCACATCTTTTTGAAAAGTAAATCAAGRGAGGGGGAAATAAAGCATAAAATAATTTTATTACAGGACCTTAGTATGTGTGTAGGACAGTAGAAAGTGGTTTTTCAGGTGCAGATACGTTGACTAAACCAGCTTTAATGTAAGAGCCACCTGAAGTACCTYCACAGCCCCTGTTCCTAAGCTCACCAGCACAAATTTCATGTGATTTTCATCATTTTGGGGAACAACCTTCATATGGAAATATGGACAGTCTCATCCATGCAAACACTTTATCCTGAGGGACACTTTGGCCATATGGACCACGCAACTGACTCTTCCYAGCCGAGGGAGAGAGGGAGTAATTGAGGCCAGGCTCTAACCCTCAGCAGTTCTTGATATTCCCAAGTCCTTACTCTTCAAGGGTCAACACCCAAAACAGCAGAAATACATGAGATAATATTTTCAAATGCAGGCGTTCCAGAGGTACGGCTGTTACCTGTATCTGATCACTTCYACTGCTACTGTGGAATTCTGCATTTGTGTGACACTCACACAAAGGAACCTCTGCTCAGGCAGGGTCTTCAGAACACCTCTGTGACATTGACAGTACGTTTCGTAAATCAAAATAGTCTAAATAATTAGTGGCATAAGGGAAACTGGGGGGCAGGAAAGGAAAGGGAGAATACAGGGCTCTTTGTGTAGAAAGAAGGGGGCAGCATAAGAAGAAATATCTAAAATCAGAGAGAAAATTGAGTGCTGGRAAGAAAATCTGCAAATACTAGAACAGCAGCAGCACACAGCTCTTCCTCCATTAGCAGAAACAGCCTGATGGGTTGAGCTGTGGACCAGGACACGGAAAGACTGGGCTTGTTTTCCAGAACAGATGGTGACCTTTCTTGTAGAAAGGCAAGGAAAAGTCCCTTCCTCACCATTTGTGCCTCAGCTTCCCCACCTGTAGGAATGGAGACACTCATCTCATTTGTGAAGCTCACAAATGTCATATTGAAGAGAAGACTTTATTATTTCCTTCAAAGAGCAAATTTGGTAACATGGGAAGGGATCTCGCAGTAAATTCTATTCTGTTCTCCAAAACCATCGCCTRCTTCATCCTCTTGCCTGTAATCAGTCACTCTGGTATTTTCCTCTTTCCATCTCACTAATCTAAAGTAAGAAAACTTCTTTAGAGGTCAAAACTGGAGACTTGTTGTAATTCATGGGCTGAGTGTTTTAAAACAAATACACAGCAGAGGGGAAAAAAATTATAAACAAGCTGTTTTGGCTGTGATGAGAAAAGAAGAAATTCAGGAACACAAAGTGTATTTTAGCCAGAGATAAGTGATAAGGTCTCCTAGGTCATGGTGCTGTAGTGACCCTACTCCCTTCTCCCTCTCCTTCCCATTTCCATCTTCTCTCCAAAGCAGCCATCAGAAACCCGGTCCTCAAACCTCAAATGGATCTCAAGCTTCATCTGAGCAAACCAGAAATGGGGGAATTTTCTCCATCAGGGTTAATCCTCATTACCAGCACACAGCACAGAAAAACCACAACCAAAATCCCTTTATGGGAAGCTCAATGTGGCAACAGCAAATTCACCACATGCAGGGAACCCTCCTTAACACCAGCCTCACCAAGCAGCTTTAAGGTGAAAGCAAATGTGAAAACACAYATAAATTATTGATTCCTAACCAAGAAGTCCCATCTAATCTGCAGGGTTCCCACAAGAAGTTTATAATTCACCCCACACCACAATCTGTACAGAGCACACAACCAACTCACAGGATCACTCTACAAAGTGGCGAGATTTTTTGSTTGCTGGTCTATAACTTTTTGTATTACCTCAGTTTATGGCCTGTGTTTTTCTTACCTCTCTATCTCCAGGAAAGATCAACTCTTGAGCAGCTTGCTTTTGAACCTTCAGATGGTGAGGCAGTAGTACTCACACTGAAATAAAACTGAACGCTGCTCCTGAATWCTGAAAGCCCTGAGCATGCCATATTTACACATTGCTGCAGAGCCACCCCTGCTAACTTGGGTTCAAGTGTAAAAATCCCCTTATATGTGTGTTAAAGTAGCTCTTTTATTGTCARTAGAGTACTCAACAAAACCTACTCGTTATTTTGAACAGCGTGAGAAACAAACACYCTGATTTCTTTTCAGTTCAGGACAAATTGGGTAATTTTGCAAAACCTTATACATCGTGGTGACTTACAGAGTGTGATTATCACAGCAAACACAGAACTTTTCATAGCAAAGATTTGTCAGAGCCCCTCCAAAGCCCAAATTGTGGAAGAGTTCACAGTAACAGCTTTACTGGCTTTGTGCAGAAAGAGCCAGGCGATTAAACAGCAGGATTRTATCACACAGGTTATATGATACACAACACCATTTAACAAGTTAGTTCTAGAATTGCTCCAGGAGGGATATTCCTGAAAAACACACTCTCTGGTCCTCTGAAACAACGATAATGCCCTTCCTGTGCACCCCCCTCCACTGCAGTCAAAAAAGAGTCATGCATTCAATTTCTGATTTTGATCATCTGAATAAAATTAAACTAAGAGTGTGGCATCAGGAAATTAAGCCCCATCGCTCTCTCCAACACAACATGAATATTCTAATAAGCACACATCTATAACTCATAACCCATTAATTTAACAAATTACTAATCTTTCTTTCCCCTTGTCTTCAACTTGCAGYTTAAGATGTCGGAAGCACTCCACAACAATATAGGGAAAAAACTGCAGGAGTGATTACCAGAGAGAGGAAAGCTCTTTTATCTAATCTTGAAGAGTTCCACCTAGCAAGGAAGGAAAGTGCCCCCAGGTCRTTTTTCTCATTTACACGTGGGCAAAGGTCGCTCTTGGGTAATTTTACAGATCCAGCTGATGTGATAACAACATCCCTGTTTACCATCTCTGCAAAATCCTGACAAGTGGGCTGGTTGGGCTGGGATGGAGTTAATTTTCTTCACAGTAGCTAGCACAGGCTGTGTTTTGGATGTGTGCAGAAAGCAGTGGTGAAATAGAGATGTTTCTGTTTTTGCTGAGCAGCTCTTGAGCAGAGCTGAGGCCTTTTCTTTCTCCCTCTCACTCCACCCCACCCTCGCCAGGCTTGGTGTGATGAGAATTTGGGAGGGGACACAGCCAGTACAGCTGACCCCAAGTGATCCCAGGGATACCCCACACCATGGTGCCAGGCTCAGCACACAGCTGAGGGAAGAAGGGAAATGTTTGGGGTTATGGTGGGGCAGTGAGCGAGCGGCCGTGTGGGGTGACCATTGACTCGGGACAAATAGAGAGCCCCAGGGGTTGAGAGTGAWGGAAAAACTGCTCCACAGCCTGGAGAAAAGGAGGCTCAGGAGAGACTTTCTCACTCTCCACRKCTCCCTGACAGGAGGGGGCAGCCAGGTGAGTCAGGCTCTTCTCCCAGGCACCCAGCAACAGGACAGGACACAGCATCTGTGTTAGGGGAAGCTAGGCTGGACATCAGGAGGAATTTCTTCATGGAAAGGGTTGTTGACCATGGGAATGGTCACCTCCAGGCCTCCCATCACTCCTGGAGGTGTCCAAGGAAGGCCTGGCCATGGCACTGAGTGCTCTGGGGACAAGGTGGGGATCAGGCACAGCTTGGACTCGATGACCTTGGACTTCTTTTCCAAGCTCAGTGATCCTGGGATTCTGTGAACATCTCTGTCAAGAATCTCCACATCCAGATCTGCACAGGATCTATATTAAAGGGAGGAGCTGACATGCTGCATGTCGGAGCTCAAATCCAGGGAAATCCTCTACAACAGGAGGATTGGGACAACAGAAACCTCCTGGTGTTCAACAAGGAGAGGCACAAAGTTTTGTAGCTGAAAGGAAACAACTCCATGTACTAGGCCAGACCAGGAAACACCTGAAAAGGGCTCAGAAGGATTTGGGGGATGGTGGCACCAGGGTGAGGAAGAGCCAACACCATAACTCGTCCTGTGCACAGCAAACCCCACACCAGGGCACGTCTGGAGCGCCAGGACAATGGATCCAAGGCAGTGACCCTTCCCCTCTGGTCAGCAGGGTGAGATCACACAGGGGACAGAGTGGGGACGGCTGTGGGAGCCCAGCTCAGCAGGGATGGGGCAACAGAGGGACAGCAGAGGGCTACCAGACAGATCCACAAACACAGGAACTGTGAGGAAGAGCCAAGAGAAGCCAGGCTTTGAATTCACTGCAAAAAAAGGAAATCTGATCTCTGCACCCTCCAGAATTCTTTTCCAAGCAGATCTTTCCACAACCCAGCTCAGCAGGGAAGTGGCAGAAGAGGGACAGCAGAGGGCTACCAGACAGATCCACAAACACAGGAACTGWGAGSAGGAGCTGGCTTTGAGTTTRCAGACAAAGGGTGAAGGGAGATCCCACAGCAGCTCATGGCAACGTGAAACACAGACAGATGACACAGCCAGACCTTTCCCTGCACAAGAGGTTATATTTTGTGCAGTTCAGGTTGCACAGCAGGAAATATTTCCTCCCCAGGAGAGTGTGGCACTGGAACACACGGCCTGGACAGAGCATGGACTCTCCATCCTCACAGGCTTACAGCATTTGGAAACAGAGCTTTCTTGCAACCAACATTTTTTTAACTATCTACCTGATTTCACAGGGGCCAGGATCCCTCTGAGAGGGCATTTATTTGAATGCAGTTAAAATATCTAAAATAGAAGAAGCATGATGTACCCAGGAGCCTGCTAATGTTTGCATTCTGAGCACACTGCAGGACTCCATCAGAGCAACCCAAACCCCAAACTGTTGCTGCAATTGCTCTGGATTGTAATGAGTTGATTTTGAGTAATTTTACAAAGCACCCTTAACTAACTCTTCAGGGTCCAGACTCCAAGGTTTCCTTTTTAACCTTCTATTAAAGTTCTCAAAACACAGAGAGCTGAGAGCACCGATCAGGGGCTGCAACCTTCACGTGATTCCACAGCTTTTCTCCACACACAACCTCTGCTGCTGCTGTTTCTTATGGTTTGTGCTTCTTACGAGAGAGGCCTTGCCCTTCCAGTCTCAATAACACCAATTAACAGACAAGGGAGAAAGATTGCTTGTGCTTTTAATTCCTTGCAATTAAGTTTTCTCTAACCACTGCCTAAGGAAGGGGATGGCTGGCTGGCACAGGAAACTCTGCAGTAGTGCAGAAATACCTATCAAGTGCAAATTCTGGACTTTCCAGACCTGTGTCATATCAGTGTGATGGGAAATATCTCTGTTAACATCTAAATATGTGACAGGAGGTGAGGCTGCTCTAGTAAGCAGCATGGAAACAATGGATTTCCCTCCATCACCAGTGCATCTTACTGGAAAAAAAAGAGAAAACCCCCATATTAAAACACACATGAGGTAAAGAAAAGGGTGATACTCTCCAGCTTCCCAACCCTTTAAGTATTTTTATACTTAGAGGTTTAAGTATAATAATAATAATAATGCTTCAGCTAAAGATAGACACTTCATTTTGGAGAAGTTTACCTGAAATAATKGAAACAGGCACAAAGGAAGGAAGAGAAGAAGGAAGAATGATTCAGACAGACAAAGCTGTGCTTGGCTGTGATTAATGTCAGCTTATGCTAAACACAGCAAATTTAGTGCATAACAAGCACCAGAACCACCAAGCTGTATTTTATAAATAACCAGATTCATCAGGGTCTGTCCAGATCACTGATTGATTGAGGCCTGTGGCCAAACTAAACAGCAAATTAGGTTCTGACTAACTAATTTTGCTTCTGGATGAAATGTCAAGTAACTGATATGATTACTGGGTTTTAATTTTTGTTTTCAAACAAAGGCAAAACACATTGAAACTTTTAATTCCATCAAGACTATTCAGGTAAGAAATTGGCTGGAATTGGTGTGATTCTGCAAACGATTTTTACACTGTAATCATCTTCCCTTTTCTCCAGCCCTAATTAGTGCTGCTGATATTCACTCAGAGCTCAGCTGTGGGGCTGTTTGTGGTGTCAGACAGGATTTTGCATCAGGCAAAGCCAAAATTCCCACCAAGAAAGCRACACCCCACTCCCATGGGATGTCACAGCAGCCCCAGGAACTGCCCCATCATCCTGTCTTKCATAGAGGAGCCAGACTCCAAAAGATGCCCAATTTTCCRCCACAGRGYGCARAACAGGTACTTACAGCTCAGGATCRAAGTAGGATGTGACATCAGGGTCAGGCACACCTGCTACAGCAAAATTACTGCTCCCAGTGTCAACCAGAATATTTAACTGCCAAGAAAGAAGAAAGGAGAGGTGATTTGCATATTCAATTAAACAAACAAACAAAAATAATTACAGTTTTTGTCTGAACTGCCTTCAGTTTTAAAATCATGGTGAGCAAAGCCCTGAGAAATKAATTTAGTGTCACTTTTGGGGAAGGTGCGCTGCTTCAGCTCCTTCAAAACAGCTGATGATGCTGAAATGTTTTAAAATAGTCCTGTTCCTGGAAGGGGTAAAACACACCAAGTGCATGTTCCCACAGCAGATGAATTCCTGATCATCTCAAATTCCCTTTTGGCCCAACCCATGAATCCTGGCAACCTGTCCAGAACAGAGTCTGAATTATGGACTGTTTAAAGCACTGTTTTAAACAAAGGAAACGGCAGCCAGAAGCAGGATAACTTCGTTCAGTGTCACCTCAAAACCACGTTGGACACAGAGCCATTAAATGGTAAGCTTAAGTCAGTCAGAGACTCTACTGCTGCAAAAAGCAATGGTCACACTTCTCCCCTGCTCCTGTCTGGACACTTCCCAGGGCTCCTGGCATAACCATGGGGCTGTGATGCAAATCAGATCAGGTTCCTCCTCTACAGGTACCAAAAAAAAAAACAAACCCCAAAAAAAAAGAAATCTTCCATATCAGAGAGCTACTCAAATGGAGATGGAAGGAGCAGGTACCAGAAAAGGGCAATTGCCTCCTTTGGTTACAGTGTGGTCTCAGATTGGCTTGAAGCACCTGCTCACCAGAAAAATATTGAGGAATTCAGAATTTTCCTGTAGGAGGGAGTGAGACACGAAGATTTGGTTGCCCTTGGCTCAAAGCCAGCCCTGAGCAGCTCTTTTGGTAGCCCTGATCAGTCCTTTAGATGTGATCTAGAACGGGGAGGGRATGTGGGAAGGGCAAGAGAGGACGATCAGGGAAAGAAGTTGGTGTTGAGAAAAGGAGAAACAGGGCTGAGCTCAGAAATGAGTGTGAACACGAAGGAGGGTGAAACACCAGGAGAAGAAATGTTGAATCCTTCTCTAATAAGACTGAACATAGACCAAAAGTGAGAGTTCAAAATGTKCAAGATGTTCAAAAACATCTCTGGTTTGCTTACAGAAGGGGAGGAAGGTGATGGTCACCCTTCTTTWTACCCCTTAATACAGCAGGGGGCTGAGGAACTCTGAAATTTAAACAGGAACACAAAACCAAGCAGTAATTCCTGGGAATCTCTTCTGAGCTGCAGGCAGGCTCTGTCATTGGTATTCCCAGCCCTAATCTTGCAGGAATTTTAAGACTGAAAAGAAACAAACCTACAGCCTCAGCCAAGCGCCTCGCTGCATCCCAGATTTTAGATTAAGCAAAGACAATACATTAAAATTTATTTTGCAACCACACGAGCTAGACAGAGACATCTAAAAACAAAAGGACATCCACAAGTTCACCTGGCTCCAGGAGCTGAGGCTTTAAAAGAAAATAAGAACCACTGAAGCACTGCAATAAAMCCCAAAGTTTGCCACATACTTCATTTTGATATTGAAAGCCTCACATTTTTTCAACTACCTAACAAGGTATGAACTGTTCAYTTCCCCCTCCCCTTTTCTGGTGCAGAAATCATATTAAAGATAAATAACAGAGCAGCTACAACGAGTGCATCTATCAGGAGCGACAAAATTTGCCTCAAAGGGGTGCTGCAGGGCTTAAATTAATTAGCCTTTCCGAGGTAGTCTGTGATGCTTGAGCAATGGGCACCATACATCRGCTGCATAAATACATGTAGGTGCTGCCTCAGCCTCAGTGATATGCATGGCACCATACACGGAGGAGGGCTTGGAGAAAAAAATAAAAAACCCAACCAAAACCAACCAAAAATCACTAAATATGACACACACGAAAGATATTTTACCCCCACATCTTAAACACAATGTTATCGTCACGGAATTCAGAAACCATCGGAGGAAAGGGCAAATTTACTGCCCACAGGACAGAGCAAATCAACATTTCCAGAAGCAAATAGATATTCTCCCACAAAAAAAGGAGGGGAAGCACAAAGCTGGCTGCCCATGCAGGCTCCAGCCCACTCGGACACGGCAGTGCTCACATGACGGGCGCTATTGAGGCTGACATTCTCTGTCCACATGTTTGTGCATAATGAGATGCAGGCGGCCAGGGCAGACACTGATTTATTGTAGTGCTCACAATGGTGCCACTGATGTGCAGCTCATTTTGGGGTGGGTATAACTCACTGAGCTCTCTTTCTCTCCTGGCTGCCCTTGGTGGCTGAATTTGCTTTAGTGCCTTTACGGCTCATTAAGGGCCACTTTCATGTCGCCACTGGAGCCTCCTTCATGCCTTCATGGTGCTGGGGCAGCTTCAGGCAGGCTCTGCAGAGTCACAAGGTGGCCACTGAAGGAGCCATGGTCCAGGGCTCTCCATCCTGCCCCAGCTTGATCAACCTCGGAGATGGACTTGTTGGGTGAGAGGTTGGGGATGTCCCAGCCCAAAACCTGACTGTGACCTGGGCTGATCCCACAGCCTGGGCAGAAGGAGAGGGGGGATTCATCTCCCTCAAGTGAGACCCCATCTGCAGAGCTGCTCCAGCCCTGGGCCCAGCACAGGAAGGACGTGGAGCTGCTGGAGAGAGCCCAGAGGAGGCAGCAGGATGGTCAGAGGGATGGAGCAGCTGTGCTGGGAGGAAAGGCTGGGAGAGCTGGGATTGTTCAGCCTGGACAGGAGAAAACTTCAAGTGAGACTACRAGGGCCTGGAGTGACAGGACAAGGGGGGATGGCTTCAAACTGAAGAGTGGGTTTAGATTTGATATTATAAAAAAAAAAAAAATTCCTTGTGAGGGTGTTGAGGCGCTGGAACAAGTCGACCTTGAGAAATTGTGGCTGTCCCATCCATGAAGTACTCAAGGCCAATCTGGATGGGGCTCTGAGCAACCTGGGATGGTGAAAGGCAGCTCTGGCCATGGCAGGGGTTTGGAACAGGATGATCCTCAAATTCCCTCCCAACCCAAGACATTCTACAATTCTGTGATCTACAGAGCACAGCTCTGCTCTCTCCTGAAAGATGACACCAAACACACTCTGTGCTCACTCCCTGGCTGACAAACAAAMCCTGCATTCCACGGGAACTCAGCCTGACTCTCTGAGGAACCCACTGTGACAGCTGGACAGTGGCCATGGCTCCCTGTGCCTTCACCTTGTCCCATGGGCACAGAGGACCCTGATGGTGAGGCAGAGCCGACAGCAGGGACAGCAGGGCACGGGTGCTAAATCAGAGGTGGAGCAGCTTCCTTGGGCTTAATCAGGGCCATCTTGAGTGAAACACTTCAGTCATCCTGAGCTGATTGTTCTGATCRTTCAGGGATCCCCCTGTTCTGTCAGAGATGGTCAGATGAAGCCATGTTTTGTAAAGGCCAAGTTTGGTGAGACTGGGCTGAATGAGGCTTTGAAGGAAAAACTGCCCAAGAACTGCTGACTGATCACATGCCCAGCATTAAAACCAGAGATAAACTACTTTCCTTTTGCTTTTGGAAGATGCAAATTCTGTTTGGGAATTGCCTTTTTTTTCCCTTTTCTTTTCTCTTTCTTTTTTTTCCCCTTTTTTTTTTTCCCCCCTTTTCTCTTTTTTTTTTTTTTTTTTTTTTTTTTTTTTCTCCTTTTTTATTTTATTTTTTTTTTCCTTTTTTTTGGTGGTTTCCAAGTTCAGTTTCAGAGCTCCACAGCTGATAGAAAGAACAAATGCACTAAATTGTTTCTTCTCCCTCAAGGTCACTTTTACCACAGCCCTGGGGCATAAAACCTTCTCCTAGGAAAGCAYCTGGAGATTATTTTGCTGTCTGCATTTCCTAAATGCAAATAGCATTGTCATTATTAATAGGAATTTCATGAAGATCCCTATTTTACAGTAAGCAAGACAGGAACATCCACCTCTGCCATGAAAAAAATTACATCGGGAATCTGACTCTATCTATATGCCATTRAGTTGTGGTTATAAAAAGAAGCAAATCCAAACTTGTTTACTGAAAGTCACGAACATTGAGAGCAGAAGCCTCTGAGGTCATGCATTTTACATTTTTTTCTACTCTGAAGGAGTAGAGACACTAAAAAAAAAAAAACCCCAGTCCTAACGATTTCTTTCAACTGGAAGTCAAACACTTTGCCAATACTTCAAGGATCCCTTAAACTTTCCAGTGCTCRACTTAACAYCAAACAGCACTTTCTGTATGCTATSATGCTTCAATAATTTAACTTAACACCATATCCTTAATATTCCTAAGCCTTCCATTGCTAAATATCACTGTATTTTGYCATTAGAAAACAAATTGCCTACTGAAGTGTTACCTTTTTTCCATTCAGCACAGCTTTGGCTGTCTGTGGTTGAGGCACCTGCATCACAGCAGGTGATGTCAGTGTGACGCTATCCACACCAGACTGGTTATTATTCGTGCCTCATTTAGCTGCCTGGCGTAAAACAATTTGCAATTATCCACCACGCASTCAGAAAGTGACTTCTTTTACATTTGCAAGGGAAAGTGATAGCAGCAATCATTCATTTTTTGCTGCTCATATCCCTCAGCTGGGACAGGAGCTGCCTCTGTTTCCTCACACGCCCTGCTCAGAGTTTGCAGAAGTTTCTCTTTCATTTTAGTCTAAGGCTGGGAGGTTTTGCTCACTTCCAGGAAAGTAMAAAACAAATCCCACAGGCTAAAAGTGCAAAAGACATTTCTTTGAAGCAGCTGTCTGCAAGATTCAGCATCCACAGACTTATCCAGGTGTGATATCCTAGGGCTGGCATGCACATYTGTCATTCTGCTGCTTTGGGTGTGATTCCCTGGGTCACTCATACTGAACTAGGGACACTCTTCATCCTCACCAAAAAACTGSTCCACAGAAAAATCCACTGAATTTTTGTTTTCCAAGTTGATGGGTCTGATCCTTTCAGGTCAGGCAATGAAGTTTCACCACTGGACAGGCTGTAGCCTCTACAACTATTTGAAAAGAGGTTGTAATGAGCTGG